TTCTCATCATTTTATACCGGGAATGGAGTCTGAGGTAGAGATCGCCGCCTGCGATTAGGGATTTATTTAGCAATGTTAATCTCATAAATGGAAGAGATTGTGCCTGGGTGTTGTTCACAATGTACCAGTGCTCGGGTTCGGCCACCCAACGGGAAAATACGGTCCAACAAACTGTGTAGTAAAGAGTGCTAATTGATATGCGATAATTGGTCACGTGATTGCATCGTTTGTATCTTGATTGTTGATTACTTGTATCGTTATAATAGCAGCTAAATATTCTGTCTTCTGGCAATATTGCCGCAAATTGCTTATCCAGCGATTGATTGGCAAATTTACCACATTCAAACACGTTAGGGTTGTTTTGTGTAAAATAGACCATGGTTAAATTGGGTCGTATTAGGCCTCTGATTGATAGGCATAATGTGAGCGCCGGTGGACTGAAACGAGTCTGTGATTCAAATCTGATGTTTGCTGTCGTTTCGTATGAGAAGTATATTAAACTTATTTTGTATGTTTGGTATAGAAATCCAAACAATAGTAATGACTTTATTATACAATTCTTTAGTGATATTTTTGGATCCATTTACATTATAATATATTATATGCTATATTAACTAAAATAATTAATCTTCATTTTAAATTATATTAATGAAAATACGATATCAGCTAAATGTATTGACAACAGTTCACTATTTACAATATTTATTTTTTTGTAATTAAAGTATTATTGATTCTAACAAATCTAATATGTACATTTGTAATATTAAATTTACATTATTCTTAATGTTGTTGACAAAGCTTTAGCACAATAGTATAAGTATACAATACCGGTACTAAAAATAATAGAAACAAAATTAATTTATAAAATAACCATGGTTGCATAAAAATTTATATCAAAATATATGTACGCCAAAGATATAGTGACTCAAACACTAAGATTTTATATAAGAATTCTTAAATATTTATTATTCATTCATAAATGGGATTATTATGGTGCAAATGGTATTAATATTATAATTTTCAATCACTCTAATCATTAGAGTCTAATGCATCGATATTGGCAGAAGTGTGATCTATTATTAGGGTGACCACCACAAGATTTAGAAAAAGAGGATTTTTGATCAAATTTAAATGTACAGTAATTATAGAGGACACATATTTTAGCTTCATTTTTTAAATCAAAATATTATCAATATTCTGGAATGTGAACACATTTTCTTATAGGCTATAATTGTAATTATGTGAGCCACAGAATATTCTTTTACATACAATTATCTATGTTTTTATATATAATTAAAACGATTGGAACAATGTTTTATATCTTATGGGAAATATAAAGACTTTAATATAAAATACGAAAAACTAATAAATAAAATTGACTTATCAAATTTATTTTATATTAATTGTTATTTTTGTGTTAATTCAATAACGAATCTTGATTAATTTGGAAAAATATTTTATAATATTTGTATTATGTTTAATTATATTCAACAGAATGTTATATAATGTGTACAAACAATAACAGTATATCTCAATGATTGCTGCTTGCCATCCATATAATATAAATTGGACAATATTTGACCAGGAGAGAGGCCTTTAGCTCAGGAAATTGCTTGCTTTTGATAGTACCTGATAATAAGTTATTTGTTCACTATTAAAGTTACCTTGGTATTTAAAAAAAACTTATTTTACCTTTTGTTTATTGATTTCATTTATAATTAGAGACAAATAAAAAGTTTTATTGTAAAATAATAGTTTTATTTGAAATATTATATTATTATATCATTTTAAAACTTGTGATTTTGTAATTGTATATTACGGTCTGCAATAAATACGTATTTTTTAAATTATATTAATTAAGTAATTATTTTATTGATTGTTGCAAAATAGTATTAAATAATTTTTAAGCAAAATGTATTCATTAAATAGTATTTTAGTTTTGGGACTAATTATACGTAAGAAATATTTTAAATGATTGAATGAATGTTTGCACTGAAATGTGTATCAATTGTAGCGTTAAGTGTATGTATTGTTGGCTGTAATGGAAGTCACGCTTCGATTCATTTCTACCCCAATATAACTGCTATCGGGTGTGGAGTCGGGAGGAGAGGGAGTCTTATGGACAACAAGTGCTTCACTTATCATCCAAACAGTAATACAATGTTTGCCGGCATTCAAAACGGACGGGTAGTGCAGACCGGAGAGACGCCGTGGACTGTGTTTATCACAAAAGTTAAAAATGGAGTGTAAGATATAAAATAAAAAATGTCTAGGTTTGTTAATAATTTTTCATTTAATTCTCTCTCTCTCTCTCTCTCTCT